CCACTGCCCTCCAGTCTGGGCGACAGAGTGAGACTCCAACTCAAAAAACAAAAACAAAAAACAAAAGACCGAGGACTTTCTCCTTCTGCCAAAAGATGGGGCTCTGCTGAGTTTGCAGAACCCTCTTTAGGTGTGAGGGGATGCTTCTCCGAGAGCAGTGACTCAAGGAACTCCATCAAAGCTGCTTGGAGCTCACTTTGCCTGTGTAACCAGGCCCTTCCCCACTTCCGCCTGGCCATAGGGACCCACCACTTAAGTGCGAGTTCTCCCAGCCTCCGCGAATGTGAACAAGGAACCCCCCTCCTGCTTCTAAACCGATGCCCTGGACCTCTCAGCAACGGTGCCCAGGTGAGGGAACCTCAAGTCTGAAGGTAACCAAAAAGCCCGCCTCTCGCTTCGGTGGGGGATAAGTTTTGCCCCTGCATTTCCTTTGGCCCTTGGGGCTGCAGTGTGGACCCTGGGATTCAAGGGCAGGCTCCTCCCCGGTCACAGCTCCGGGATGAAAGTCAGCAGGTAGGACCGCCTCTCCTCCGGGTCCTGGGACCCTTCCCTTGCCGATAGGGAGAAGGCGGGCAGAGGACGCCTGGGGGGTGGGGCTTGGCGGAACGCGCGTCCACGTGGAAACCCTCGGTGGGGTATGGTGGACCGGAGGGACCAAATTCAAAGCTGTCCGCTGCGGTGGGGGGGAAACTGTCAGGAGAGGGCAGTACAGAGCTTCTCCTGTCTCTCTTACAGCTAGCCACGCACAAGGCAAGGGTGCCAAACTCGCTGTCTTCTTCCCCAGGCGGGTCAGCTGAGGTCACCCGGGAAGCCCGTCTACCTTGCCCCTGCCCTGGGTAGTCAGGGTATGCTGAGGCCTCAGGGTCCCACTAAAGGAGCAAGGGACCGCTACAGCAGCCACAGAAAAAGAGAATTGTGCACCAGGATTATGGTAGGTAATAAGATTTACTGAAAACTTCGCGGCCACATTCAGTACTGGTTTGGTGGATACATCAGAAGGAGGTTGCATAACATTAGGCAGGTGGAGGGGGCTGGGAGGAAGAGATGTGAGCACGTGTGTGTGGGCGAGCTTGTGCTGGGAGGACGCCTGTCAAGGTGGTGAGTGAAAGGATGTGTGTGTGTGTGCGCGCGCGTGTGTGCAAGTGTAAGAAGAAAAACCAGAAGAGGAAATGCATTTTATCCCACGGCACGTTGCAAAAGTCTCACGCCAAAAAAGCTAGACTTTCCTCTACCTATGGCATCAAAAGGGAGTAAAAAATGATTGGATCACCCAGATTATAAATAAGGTTATTTGTTTCTCAAAAATCCCTATTAAAACATTAAATATCAGCTCTTTTGGGGGAGAAATACATTCATTTCAGGGAGACCTCAGGAAAGCGACCATCCTTTTGCTCCGCCCCAACCAGGTGGGGGAGGGGAAGCCCCAGAGGGGCCCAAGGGTTCCTCCAGTGGAGCCACGTAGCCACTCACATCCTGCCACTGAAGGAGATGGCTAATGCACAATTTACAAATGAAACCGCACGTCCATTAAATTAAATCCAATGGGAAACACACGTGTGATCAGTCCTGTCATTCGCAGAAGTAGGGGAGAGAGGGAACAGGAGGAGGGGTGCCAAAGGTGGGGGTCTGGAAGGTGGGATGGGAGGGTGTGTGTTAGGGCAGACTGTGGAAAGCCGCTGCCTCTTCCCAGGAGCCCCAGTTCCTCCAGGGCTGTGGATGGTGGTATTAGAACAGCGAGGCGGGTGGGTGGGGCACCCTGCAGGCTCTTGGGTGCCATTTCTCCGGGCCCTCATCACATTCTGGATATTGATGGAAAGAGGGGTGTAGCACCTTCTTCAACCCCTGGCTTCCCGGTGAGCTAGATGCTTCTCTCCAATGTTTCTTCTGCCTTCTCTGAAGGATAGAACGAAGAAGGGAGGCTGGAGGTCCGATGGAGTGGGAGCAGAGGGACAGCCATGGCACCTGCAGGATGGAAAGATTCCCAGCTAACCTGGCTCCACTCTCGCAGAAGGTCTACGGAGGGGGTGGAACACGTGAGGAGCTCCATCTGAGGGTGGGAACATCTAGGGTAAGACACCATCGTCCTGCTGTTACAGGAGCTGAGTTCTGTGACCACCTAGGGACAGCCCTGGCCCCCAAGTCACCTTGATATGGCTCCTTGCCCAGCGTCTGCAGTCTCCTTGGCTCCTGGAGCCAACCCAGGTGAAGGGACTCCAATTAATCCCCTACAGGTTGAGCCAACCAGTATACAATTTGTTTCTAGGAGAGAGCAAAGGAGGCCCTGCTGGCTCCCGTCCCTCTCTCCCAAGTCCATGGTTGCTGTGCCCAGAAATGGGGCCTCTGAGGGATCAGCTGTAACCCTGTGGATTCCAGGTCCCACTCTGATCAGTAAGATGTTATGCCTCAGGCCCTCCAAACCCTCTGGCCACTGGTTATGCTTTTGGGCTCCCTCCTGCCCTTGAATGTCTCTCAAAGGAGCTGAGAACCTTCTGGGAATGGAACCCAGTCCCCCTGTGTCTCTCCCTTTTTTTCCCAAGTCTGTCCCCTGGCCAAGGCCCACTCTGTGAACAGCACCCATCCGCCTCACGGTGCAGGGCTTGTAAACAACTCAAGTCCTTCTGTGGGGAGTTCCATGGTGCCATCTGTCCTTGGGGATTTGCTGAGTCCAGATCTCATTCTTGTCTTTCCGTACAGGCTGCTTGACGGGCCCCGCCAAACAGAGTCCTCTGCAGTTTCAGGGAAGTGGGGCTGGGGTACTCGAAGCTTGGAGGTTGGGAAGGGGCAGGGTGTCTCCTCTGCATTTCTTCAAGCTACTGATTTTGGGAAGCTGGGGCCCAACTTCCTCGGTGCTGCCTGCCCGGGTCCCCTTCCCCCCCACCCTGAAGCCCTCCCAACGACACTCCTCTCCTGCTCGGTGATCAGTGCCATGGGGGCTGCCAGACTACTCCAGGGAGTCACTGTGTTCCAAGCCCAGGTCGCTGACATTCGTCGTCTGCAGCTCGTCGGCTTCCTCCTCCAGTTCCTCCTCTTCCTCCTCTTCCATCTCGTCCTCATCCTCTTCTTCTGTCCCATCCAATGAGTCATCGTGGGCAGCCATCATAGCTTGCTGCATGGCCATGGTGGCGTTGTCTGAGGATAGGGACTGCAGGTTGTCCAAGTTGATGGAACCTGCATGGGAGAAGGCGAGGGTCGGGTTGACGCAGGGGCTGTTGGTCAGGCCCAGCAAACTCTATGTTAGACAGGGTTGGATGGACTGGCTCACAGGGTGGTGAGCTCCTTGTTTCCAAGGCTGCCCAAACCTAATCGGGACGATTAATTCCCTGGTGTGAGGCCTCCCATCCATTCACTTGTCAGTGACTCTCTGCCCCATTCCAGGAAGCAACACGCCCAGCTACCATTCACTGAGCATTTTCTATGTAAATATGTAAAACACTTTTGACTTTCTAACAATTCTGTAAGGCAGGTATTGTTTTGTTTTGTTTTGTTTTTTTGAGTTGGAGTCTCACTCCCTCGCCCAGACTGGAGTGCAGTGGCCGCTCCCGGCCACCGCAGCCTCGACCTGCTGGGCTCCGGCGATCTTTCCGCCTCAGCCTTCCAAGTAGCTGGAACTACAGGCGTGCGCTACCACGCCTGGCTAATTTTTTTGTTTATCGTAGAGATGAGGTCTCGCCAAGTTGCCCAGGTGGAGTCTCGAACCCATGGGCTCAGGCAATCCGCTCACCTCAGCCTCCCAAAGGTGTGGGATTACAGGCTGAGCCACCAAGCCCAGCAAGGCAGGTATTGTTAACTTCATTCTAAAGAGGAGGAAACTGAGTCCCAGACAGTTAAGTCACTAGCTCAAGGCGACACAGTCAGCAGTGACCAAGTTGGGATTCTCTCCCAGGTTGATCTGGCCCCCTGAATCTGTTTGCTTTCACCACACCTCGTAAGATGATGGCCCATCACATAGGAACCTATACGCAACCATATACATGCATGCAAACACGAAGCCATGTAAGCGCACATGCACACCTCCACCCCACTTCCCACACAGAGCTGTCTTCACGTGCCAGGCTAGAAAATGTCTGGCTCATTGAATTATTCATGGTGCACCAGGCGACTGGCAATTAGAAAAGTGTATATGGAGGGTGTGATGGAGAGGCTGGAAAACAGAGCTCTTCCTGGCCTCTGTTCACAAGCCAGCTGCCTGTCTTGATATTTATAGATGGCCTTGGCTCCTGGGGAGCTGAGCAGATACCAACTGGTGCTGAGGAACTGGGTGGTGTGGGCGTGAGGAGGAGGGGGGCTCTGCTGAGCTGTCATGACTTGTATGACCACTAACTTCCACGTGTCTTTATGAGACTGCATTTGGCTTGTTAGAATATGTGCAAAACATTCCCTTTTGTAAGGCTTGGATGAGGATCAGGGACGGGTAATCACTGGGACAGAGCAGCAACTGGGACCCAGGGGACTGAATGGCCAACCCTTGAACCTTTGCACAGTCTGACCTGAAGGGGCTCCAGGATCCCCCACCGACCCCCACCTAGGGTGCACATGGCCCCAGTTCTTACCATCGGGGTTTGTCCCCGGGGCACCACCTTGCTGCTGCAGTACCCCCGCAGCAATGGAGTTGGGCCAGAATCTTTGGGTGGGCCGGTGCTGAGACTTGATCTTCTTGGCTTTGGGGGCAGGGTCTGGGTTGCTGGCATCAAGCATGGGCTGTAGGATGCGCCTCCGGGCATTGATGAACCTGCCCAGGGGTAAAGGCAGAGACCTGATTAGTCACCACCTGGGTGGCTCCGATCTAGGATTTAAAAAGCACAGCAGGGAAAAGCGCCTTGAGTACTGAGGAGTTCATGAAATCGCATGGGCCTTGGTAACCACAAAATAGTATGGTCAGAATGCCATGAGGGGTCAGAAATCCCTATTCAACCTGCCAGGATCGAACAGAGAGGAAAGAACCGTAGTCACAGACACCAACCTTTGACGTCTCTTCAGAGGGCTGAGCGCTCAGACTGGGGGCCCCAACTCTGGGGTTCACTCCCATCCAGCCACACCCAGCTCTCTTGAGTTCCCTGTGTAAGCCCAGGCAGACACACAGAGAAGGGGAAATGTAAGATCCCTGTGGGGTCAGAATGGCTACTCTTCCACCTTCTTCCCATTCCCAGCTTTGCGGGATGTTTTAGTTTAGTTCCCATGGGGGTGGGGTAGACCAGATGACCGTGATGGCGCCTCCAGTCCATGGATGCAAGTCCTTCCTGACTCTGCAGTGCAGGTGGGCTGGATGCCCAGGAGGGGCTGGGTTTTCTATTCAAGAAGCTTCCAGGGTTGTGCCTGACACAATGTCCCAGCAGAGGGCGCCAAGGAGCTGCAGATGAGCCACAGGTGTCTGTCGATTCTGGCTTTCTGCTTCTAGCTCAAATGAGAGGACTGGTAGCTGGGCCAAGGCTGAGGCAACTCTGGGCATTCCAGTCTAGTCTCTTTTCCCTGCTGTACGTTCCTCTGCCCAGCATGTGACCCTTGATCTGAGAGCTATTGTGCAGGTGATGCTAACTTACCAGTTATTTACTTGCAGGAGGGTGAGGTTGGTCTGGGCTGCGATCTGTCTCTTCTCATCCTCGGTGGGGTAGGGGTGCTGAAATGAGAGGTGAAGGGCTAATGAGGGCTGGGCACGTGGTGGCCTGGTCCCCTTAGGGACTGTGCTCATGCTGTGGTCACTATGCTGGGCCAAGCAGCCCAAATAGTTTGGGAGCCAAAAACTGGGGGAGGTATAATGCTTGTTCCCCAAAGAGAATGGGCCCATGGCTTTGGAGGAAGACTGCCCCATTCAGGGCCACCTGGCTTTCAGTCCTCCCTCCCCAGTGAGGAGACAGGGTGATTTTCCAAGAGACAGTACAGTTCAATATTGATGACTTTCAAGGCGCTTTCACCTCCTTCTCACTCGGTCCTCACTGCAGCCCCCAGCAGGCAAGGCAGACATTACCAGTGTTAAGATTTTCAGGGGCTCAAAAGCCCGAATCAATTCAACTTAAATTAACTGCTGTTAGCCGTGCTCGGTGGTTCAGCCTGTAATCCCGCACCACCGAGGTGAGTGGATTGCCTGAACCCGCGGGTCTGAGACCCACCTGGGCAACCTGGCGAGACCTCATCTCTACAATAAATCAAAAATTAGCCGGGCATGGTAGCATGCGCCTGTAGTTCCAGCCACTTGGAAGGCTGAGGCGGAAAGATCGCCGGAGCCCAGCAGGTCGTGGCTGTGGTAGCCGGGAGCAGCTGCTGCACTCCAGTCTGGGCGACAGAGTGAGACTCCAACTCACACACACAAAAAATTAATTAATTAATTAATTAACTGCTGTTTACTGAATTTCTACTCTGTGCCCAGATTTATCCTAGGAGATGGAAGAGAAATACAATAATAATAAGTACTATTGGTGTAATACTTGATAACCTGTAACATGCGTTCCTGCACTTAATTTCATCTAATAGATCACATCATTAAAACTTTATAAGGCAGGCATGTTAGGTATTATTATTCCAGTTTACAGTTAAAGAAATGGAATGACTTCTCTGGTGTCACCAGATGGTAGCACCAGCTCAGTTCTTCTGATTTGGGTCCAGTCTTTCTTCCGTGACATCACAATGCCACGCTATAAGCCTGAGGAAAGGGGCGTGAGTGGTGCAGGGGTTTGGCTTGGTCCCTGGCACACTCCAGGTCGTGCACTGATTATAAGTCTGTCCTTCTCGCTCAGACTGTGCTTTATGAGGGCACTGTGTGTGCTGAGTAATGTATCCCCAGCGCCTCCCACATACAGATGACAGACGAATACCTGCCGAGTGAAAGAAAGTGAAAATAGAGTACTGGATACTGTGGGTTTGGGCCATGAGCATTATGGAGGCCTGGAAGGAGGAGATATGGGTGCCAGCCAGAGTGGTGGGGAAGACTGAACAGATCACAGTAAAGAATGGGAAGGTTTTGGGTGGCAGTGGGAAAAGGGTCCTGACCCCATGGGTGGTGAGCCACATGATGTTCGAGTCTGTGCATCTCTGGGTCTTCGCCAGGCTTCAGCACAGTGCCTGGCTCCCAATAGGCATGCAGCTACGTGTAGTGAGTATCTGAATGGGTCAGAGTATTATCCTGGGAGCTAGGGGAGACCTGAGGGCTCTTAGGGGACCTCTGGCATCCTCAGGCCAGGATCAGTTCTTTCAGTTGGAGTGGTGTTAGACAGTGGGCCACTGAGACCCAATCTCCACCACTACACAGCATGTCCATGTAACACACACACAGTGTACCTCTGAATCTAAAATAAAAATGGAAAAGAAAGCTAAAAAAATAAAAAATTGTCAAAAAAAGGGAAAAAGAAAGTGGTGCTTGGACTGTGAAGTGCCAGAGATTTGGATGCATTGTCTAGCTGTATTATAACTAGCTATGAAATCTCAAGCATGTCACTTAATCACACATCATAAAGTCATCTAACAAATAAATGTTATTATACTTGTACATCGCTCAATAAAAGGTAACTCTTCCTCTTATTATTGTTGGGTGGTGTAGGCAAGGTGCTTAAAGCTGTCTGAGGAAAGAGTTCAAGATCGGCAGTACCCTCGTTATCAGCGGCAAGGCGGCCTCTTCAGCTGGCCTCAGCATCCCCCAACTGAAGCAATCAGGATCGTGTGTTGTTTTAATTCACACCTCTGACCCTGGCAGCCATGCTGGGGCAGCCGGGACTTGTGATTCATACAATATTAAGATTCTAACAAGAAGGAAAGTACATCAGTGTTACAAGAGTCAATTTTATTCTAATTGGGAAGGAGCAGAGGGGGGCCGAGAGGAGAGATTGCAGACAGGCCCCAAGGGCAGAGGGGCAAGGACCCTGAGAGCTCTGACACCTTCTGGGGATAGGGTGGTACTCCCCTGGCTGCATGGAGTTCCAACCTCCCTTTCATGGGAAGGAGCCAAGCGGCTTCCCTGACCATGACCAGTTCATCTGTGAACAAAATATGGCGAAAATGTGACTCTTTGGTCTTCCCCTGCCCTGCTAGGCCCTTCTGTGCCTTCCTGCCTTCGCACATGCTGGTCCTGCACTGGAAGGCTCTTTCTCCTTTCTGAGCTTCTGTGAGGACCTGTCACAGGTCACATTCTTGGTGAGGCCTCTCCCAACCCCCTGAGGCAAAGTTAGTCTCTGCCACTGCTGAATCATTGCTTTTGGATGGTAAGATATGTCTCTCCCACTAGGCTATGAACTGCTCTCAAACAGAGACCTTGTCTTATCAGACATTGTTTATCTCCAGTGTCCGGACCAATGACAGGCAAAGAGAGGTCGATGTTCAACAATACTGTAGGGAACAGATGAGTGAACTAACACAAGAAGGAGATGCAGACTTGTTTCCTGAGTAGAGCGAGGCTGGCTTTGCCGACTGTGCTGGTGCATCATCCCACAAGTACTGGGTATCTGCTACATCCTGGCTGTCAGCAAGTGAAAGAGATCTGAACACAAGAGCTCACAGCTTAGATGGAAAGGAAAAGGGGAGGGAGAAAAACCCCTCTATTACAGGGTAAGAGAAGAAAGTCCCAAGGGAGGAGAGACTTCGGCTGGACCTTGAAGAATGGCCAAGCCATTCTGGTAGAGAAGGGGAGAGACATTCCAGGCAGGAGCCTTGCACCAGGACTTTTACGCAAGCCAGCCAGATGAAAGCCTCCTCCACTGTTAACGACTTCCAGAGAGGGAAATCCTCCAGCCTTCCTTGGACACATCAGTGTTACAGAAGTCAATTTAATCATGATCAGGGATCATGTTTTCTGTCTCTAAGGAGGCTTCTGGTGCGGATCCCCATTCTCAGTGGTTGTCGTGAATATGCAGTTGAACATGCTTCTGGCTCACAGAGAGCTTTAAGAGCCAGCGTCACCCTGAGCTGGCTACTTGTTTTCTTATGAATAAGGATAGAAAGCCCTTGCCACCCCCTAGTGCAAGCCCCCACCACCTATCCCTCCTGGAATCAATATCTCTGGAGGCACGTGGTGGAGGCCGTGGGGTGAGTAGCAGCATTTAGTCCAGCTTTGGGAACAGGTGTGTCGGCCAGAACATTCCTGGCACCACATCTGAGTGCTCATGGGAGCAGTCCAGCTTGTACACGCCTCAGACCACATGATTCCTGAGGACAGAGTCAAAATAGTCCTGGCCCCTGGACAGACCTCGATTGGGTCAGGGCTACTTTTAGCACAGTTGGACAGGCTCGGGGCCAAGGTCGGGAAGAGGAATCAAATGAGATCATGGTAAACCATCAAGCCACAGTGACTGCTCTGATCGTTATTTGGAGGAACTCCCCAGAGTTGGGAGGGAAGGGCCCAGACAGCAACTCTCTGGAAGTAGACAATCATTCTTTGAAAAAGAGGTACAGGATGACCAGAAAATGACAGATTCTCCTCAGAGCTAGCCTGGCACCTCACAGGGCCAGGCTGTGCTGCTGGGAGGTAAAGAGCCTTTGGAGATGGGGTCAAGTCCCACCACAGCTGTGTGACCTTGGCACACACAGGTGACCTTAGTTGTCTTATGTCTTCCATTCTTAGTTCCCTCTCCTTGAAAAGGAAACAGCACAATAGTGCCTACATCTTGGGCTTGGAAGATGATTTAATGAGATAATGCAGGGTAAACATGTGTATTCCTCTGACTCTGCGTAATGTACTGAAGCGTCCCAGACATCATCTAGTTGAAACTCAAGGTCTCCAGGGGAGGGAATGGCAGTATTTACATGAAGTAGGTGTTTCAAGTCACCATAGCTGCCACCAGGAAGTTCCTCTGAAATCTCATCCATCCATGCCAAAGGCATCTTTGAGTTGGAAGAGTGGGTTCTGCCGGGGGCCTGGGTCAGAAGGAAACTAAGCCGGCGTTGGGTCATAGGGCCATTTCCTTCCCTCAATGCTGACCAACAATGTCTTTCCACCTCCTAGCATCTCACTACAAGGCGGCCAAGGTCACCAACAGACACAGCAGTCAGGAACCCCGGTGTCAGTAGACCCTGTGTTGCAGGTAGGCTTGGGACCTGACTCAGATCCACGAACTTTCACTCCTGTTTCTTGCTAACACCAGCGCCGCACTGGGGTCTACCACAGGCTTCTTTCCTTCTTCTCCCTCCTGACAACTGTAGGGTCATGGGCTGCTCTGGGCCACCACTCTGTGGGTGTAGTACCACCCTAGGAGGACCAGAGACCACCTGGAGGCAGGTAGAATGGTGAGGAACCCTGAAACAACCGCATTCCATCACATCTAAGATGCCAATGAGGGTGGGATGCACCCTGATTTCAGAGGTGCTAAAATGAAACGAATGAGTCTTTTTTTTTGAGTTGGAATCTCACTCCGTTGCCCAGACTGGAGTGCAGTGGCATGCTCCTAGTCACCGCAGCCTCGACCTGCTGGGCTCTGACGATCCTTCCACCTCAGCCTTCCAAGTAGCTGGAACTATAGACGTGCGCTGCCATGCCTGGCTATTTTTTTTTT